AACAAACATAGCACAGTTGCAGCAGGACAGAAGAAACTGTCTTCCTGGAGGCATTATCTAGGGCTACTTTTATGAAGAGGCAGGCAATCAGGCAGGGTTTTTATGTCACTGTGCTGGCCTGTATGGGGATCTGTCATAGTGTGTTGGTGTAGATGTCCCTGAGGATCAGGGATTTGAACATTTCATTCCTTGGTGACACTGTTTGAGGAGGTTATGGAACATTTGGGTTTGCTGGAGGAACCATGTCGTTTGAGTGTTTATAGCCTAACTCCGCTTCCAGTTCACCCTCTCTGTTTCGTGTGGACGTGTGATCTGTCAGCTTCCTGCTCCAACCACTCACCACCATACACCTCCATCCCTCATGGCCCAAATTATAGACTCTAGCCTTCTGGAACTGTAAGCCAAAATAAACCCTTCCATGAGTTGCTTATGGTCATATTTTAGCACAGCAACAGAAAATAATGAATGCATTAATTTCCTGTCCGGCTACTGTGAGAAAACACCCTGACAAAGCGAGGTGTGGTAGTGCATGCCTTTAAGCACTTGGGGAGCAGAGAGAAGCAGGTCTCTGTTAGTCTGAGACCAGCCTGGTGTACATCGGGAGTTCCAGGATAGACCCAGTAAAACTCTGCCTCAAAACAGCAAAGCAAACAAACAAATTCTAACAAAACCAGAAAGGGTCAACATGACCACAGTTCCAGGTTATATAGCCCATTGTTGCAGGGGAGTCACGGTGCAAGAACTGGAAGGAGTTGGCCACATTGTACCCACAGTTAAGAATCAAAGATGGAAAAAATTATGCTGAGGTTCAGCTCACTTTCTCCATTTTATATAGTCCAGAGCTCCTAACATTAGGAATGGTCCCATCACACATCCATTAACACAGCATAATCTCTTACAAAGGCATACCACTTCCCCGGTGACTCTAGATTCCCTCAGGCTGACAATTGGCAATAACCATCACAAGCTCGTATCTAGATGACCAGAGGGGCAGCTCATCAGTTAAGGAATGATTTTTGTTTGCCTGCTTTTGTTTTTCAAGACAGTAAGGAATAAATTTTACAGTGTGAGTTACTTTTTCTTGTGATTGGCTTTATAAAGACATCATGAGTTACTAGGAGTCAAATGGATGGCAGTCTGAACCTGTTGGCTAAAGTGTAGATTCTTCTACAGTAGCGTCATGATGCCCAAAGACAGATTAGAGCTTGTTAAGGGGAATTCTCTCAGACCATACTTGGAATGAACAGCAGCCTTGCTCAGATCATATCTTGTCCCAGAACAGAAACAGCCCCATCCTTAGGCTATAAAAGTTCAGCACAACCATCTGTCCCAGATAACAGAATAGCATCCAGGGCTTCCTGTACTTTACTGTTGTAAAGGATGCTCTCCAAATGAGCATGGACTTGCTCGTTTTGTAAGTGTTCATTGGCTGTTCTTGGTTATCAACTTGACTACATCTGGAGTTAAAATGGAGGACACACCTATGATGGATTTTTGCTTAATTTGAAATAGAAAGGTCAACTTTTAATCTTGAGGTGGGAAACACACCTATAACCTGGGCCACGCCTTCTGCTGGAAGCCTATATAAGGCCATGGAAGAAGAAAGCTTTTGCTCTTTGCCTGCTTGTTATCCACCTTGCTAGCACATCCATTCCTTCACTAGCATTAGAGCCTACTTCTTTGGAATTCCAGAATATACTGATAACCAGCTGAGACATCCAGCCTTTCAGAGTGAACAACTATTGGATTCTTGGACTTTTCGTTCATAACCAGCCATTGTTCGATTAGCTGGAGCACAGCCTGTAAGTCATTCTAATAAATAATAAGTTCCCCATATATGCATATGATATATATATATATATATAATAACCATTCTATAAGCTTTATAACTCTAGAGAATCCTATATAGATATGCTTTCAGAAGTGGATTTGTTGGGCTAAAAGTTTAGTGTGCATTGATCTTGATCCACATCTCAGATGGTGCCCTCTCCAATACAGTAATCTGATGCCCATTTCCTTCCTGTGGCCTCACCAATAGAGGATAGGTTTTTTGGTTGTTGTTTTTTTTTTAATGCTTTCACCAGTCATTGGTGAAAAATGCTGTCTTACCATTTGTTTGCTTGAAGTTTTGTTTTGTTGTTTTGTAGTTTTTCTTGTCGAAATGAGATCTTGTTGGTCTAGATCTTAAAACTCACCACGTAGACCAGACTGCTTTAAGCTTGAGGCAGTCCTCATTATCTCTGACTCCAAAGTCCTGTGTCTCAAAGTTTTAACTTGAATTTTCCTCTGTAGGGGTGAGGTTGACTTTTTCCTATCTTCCAGACCTATTTGTATGTCCTTTGCTGTGACCTCTATTAATTTCTCTATTGACTAGTGCAACTGGTTCTTACTGACTTCTGGAAGGTCTCAGAATACTGAAGAGATTAACCCTTTTTGGTTTATGTTTCACTGTTAATCATATGCCTTTTGATTTTGCTTAGGGTGATTTCTCCAGACAACATTAAAAAAATCAATTTATTGAGTGTGTGTGTGTGTGTGTGTGTGTGTGTGTGTGTCTGTGTGTGTTTGTGTGTGTGTGTGTGTGTGTGTGTGTGTGTTTGCATGTGCATGCACTTGCTCCATGGGACCTGTGTGAGGTCAGAGAACCACTTTTGGGAGTCTGTTCTCTTTCAGCCATGGGCTCTGGGGATTCCCAGGCCCGAGTGCCCAACTGTTTTACCTGTTAATCAGCTCACTTGCTCCTCTAACCAATGTTTGTCAGAGGCATTGATTCTGGCTTTTGAGAGAAAAATTCTTTATCCCACATTTAAAAAAGAGTTTCCCCATGTTCTCTTCTTTTTTACATTTCCACATTTAAAAATTATATGCTTTTTTTTTTTAAACTTGGAATTTATCCTGGTACACGAGTTACAGATACAATTTATACCATTTCTAACAGTTACGTTGTGGTCCCAGTCCCACGTCTTTAATAATCCTTTACACTAGTCATCTTTGCTTGCTGTGGAAAAACTGGTGAGAAAAGCTAGGCATGGTGGCACATGTCCTTCATCTCAGGACTTGAGAGGCAGAGCAGGCAAATCACTGAGTCTGTGTGGTCTACACAGTGCCAGCTGTCAGGCCGGCAGCCAAGACATTAACATGGAGATTTACGAAAGTGTTTAAGATCCAAAGTATTACACCCTGCGATTTGAAATACTTTATCAAATGTCAACTCCAAATTGTTGGTGTATACTTCTGGTTTTTCTATTACGTTTCATTGGTTTGTTTACCTTTGCACTGGGGAGCTTATTGGCTGCAGCCTTTAAATATGTTTTCATATCTGGTAGGAAGTTAAATAACTCCCCTCGACCCCACCCCCCCTTTTTTTGTTTGTTTGTTTTCTTTTGGTTTTTTGAGACAGGGTCTCTGTTTCACCGTGTAATAGTCCCGGCTGTCCTGGAACTTGCTTTGTAGGCCAGGCTGCCTTATTCACAGAACTATCCCTGCTTCTGGCTCCCAAATGCTGGGATTAAAGGCATTCACCACCATGCCTGACAAGTAGTCCCCTTACCACTCTGTTCTCAAACATTTCCTCGAATGTATTCTTCCTGTTGGCTTTTCTGCTATGTAAAGATAGTGTGGTTTAGGTCTAGCTCTAAGTGCTTGGTGTTTCCTAGCTCTTGTGACGGACACAAGCTTACCAGGGTAAAAATCTTGGGGTGGCATTGGAACAGAGATGGGAGTTCAAAAAGAAAAGAGGGTGGAGAGGCACCTCAGTCAGTGGTTAAGAACACTTGCTGCTTGCTCTTGCAGAGAACCTAGGGTCGGTTTCCAGCACCCACACGGTGGTTCACAGCCATCTCTAATCCTCTCTTCTGACCTCTGCCGGCTATTAAGCAGGCACACAGCTGTGCACATACAAACAGGGGTACAAAACATTCACAAATAAAAATAAAATGAATCAATCTTTTAAGAAGGGCGGTGGGGAGTCTAGAGATGGCTCAGAGCACTTCCCAGCACTCATGTTGGGCAACTGAAAACTCTAGCTGGAGATCACAAGCCTTTTTTCTGTCCCAGCTCTCCGCCAGCACTCATGCGAGCAAATCCACACACAGCTACACACGTATACGCACAGCTAAAACTAAAATACAATCTTAGTACTGTGCATGGTGGCTGTTGCTTTAATGCCAGAACTTTAGAAGCAGAGGCAGGCAGACCCGTAAAATCAAGGCCATCCTGGTTCAAAACAAAAACAACAAATAAGAGAAAAGCTTTTAAAAAAAAAAAAAAAAGAACAATAATAAAAAACCACAAAAAAAGGAATTAAGTAAACATAATGCGAAACGTCATACATTTTTCTCCCGAAATTACTGCGGGCCATATTACTATTTTCTACAACGTCGTTTGTTTCCAAATGGGTTTCGGCTCCAGCCAGAGCTGAGGCCGGGAGCCTAGACGCGCGTCCCAGCATCCG